ATATATATTGTATATATGAATATATATACACAATTATATATACATATAATATATAATAATGTATAATATATACGTGACAGATATATAATATATCTTAGTTTGATAAACAAGTTTTGTGTAGGAAAAAGACTGAAAAGAAACAGACCACAATATTAATAGTAGTTCCCACTGGTTGGGAGGATGATGAATAATTGATATTTTTTTATACGTCATTCTGTACATTCTAATGAGAATTTATTACTTTTATAATTAGAAGAAAAACCTACTTTAAAAAGAAAGCAGAACACAAGTATGAGGCATCAACTTATTACCTGAAAATGTATCTGTGTTAATACCCAAAAATATATTTGTGACAAATCACATTGATCCAGAGATCAATGGAATGGAAATAGAACCGTCTTATATTATTTTATTATTCTTAGTATATCTGTAAGGTGCCTGTCACGTAATAAGCCTTGAATAATAAACATTTAAGAGAATGAAAACAATGTAATCGTAGTATTAGAATGTCTGTACCACGAGGGCAGCAGTTTTGTCTGTTTTGTTCACTAGTGCATCTCTAGCACCTAGAATAACGCTTGACACGCTGGGCGCTCAGTGAGTGCTTGTGGATAAATGAGTAGGTGCTGGAGCCCAGTGCCAAGAGCATCAGCCTGTGGCCTGTGTGGTCACAGCCTGGGCTCCATCCAAGCTCCACCATTTACTGGATGAGTGATTTGGGAAGTTATTTAACTTCCTAGATTTCTCATCTATACAATGAGGGTAAAATAAAATAGTCTGTGTCTGTGTTAGTTTTCCATTGCTGCTGTAACAAATATCCACAAATTTAGTGACTTAAAAAAACACAAATTTATTATCTTCTAGATGTTCTAGATGTCAGTAGTCCTAAACTCAAGATGTCGTCAGGGCTGTGTTCCTTCTGGCGGCTCTAGGGGAAAATCCATTTCCTTGACTTTTGCAGCTTGTAGAGGCAGCCTTCAGTTTTTGGCTGTGGCCCCTTCCACCATCTTCAAAGCAAATAGTGAGACGTCTTCAATCTGTCTCTCCCTCTGACCTCTGCTTCTGTCTTCACACCTACTGCTCTGCCTCTGACCCGCCTGCCTCCCTCTTTGTAAGGACCCTTGTTATCACATTGCGCCCACCCAGATAACCCAGGATAGTCTTCCCGTCTCAAGATCCTTAACATAATATCTGCAAAGTCCCTTTTGCCTTGTAAGGTAACATCTTCACGGGTTCTGGGAATTAGGATGTGGACATCTTTGTGGGGGCTGTTATTCTGTCTACTACAGTATTTTATGTGATGCTTGTAAGGATTTCATGAGATAATTCATGCAAAAATTTTAGATCAGTGCCAGGCATGTTATAAATACTCAATAATTGTTAGCTTCTCTTACTTTACTATTATGGAGGAACCCATGCTATTTCCCAGAAATCAAAACTCCATCCACAGATAAGAATTTGTAAGAATGTATAGTATAGACGTCTGTCTGTGCCCTTAAGAAGCATAACTTGGAGAGAATATACAACTGAAGAAACCTTAACTGAAAATGGGGCTGTATTCATACCACTTTCTTCTAGTGCAGCTATTCATGTATAATTGAGTCCTGGCCCTGGACTTAGGCTTTCTAATTTTTTGTTATTGAGATACAATTCATTTCCCACAAAACTCATCATTTTAAAGTGTACAATTTAGTGGTTTTTAGTATATTCACAAGGTTGTGCAACCACCACCACTATCTAATTCTAGAACATTTTCATCATCCCCCCCAAAAAAGCCACATACCCATTAGCAGTCACTTCCATTCCCCTCTCCCACCAGCTCCTGGCAACCGCTAATCTAGTTTCTGTCTCTATGGATTTGCCTGAGAATCCATAGAATTTTTTTTGTATAATTCAAAGATTGGTATCTTTTTTTGTTTTGTAAAGGAAAATAAGGTTGTGTTTTTTGTTTGAAACAAAATATAAGCAAACCCCCTCCCTGCCCAGCCTCTGTCCTGCCCCCATGGGGTGCTGGGACCCCTGGTCCTGGGTGTCAGAGGCCAGGCTGTCCTGGCCTGAGAGGAGAGGAGCCGAGCACTCTCTGTGTGGGAGCTTCCTCAGAGCCAGAGAGGAAGGGCATTTGGGAAGGGAGTTTGGCTTTGTTAGGCAAAAAATAAAATAAAAAAACTCAACATAGATGCCCATTACACAAATGGGGGCTAAGAGGCACCACCTCTGAGGTGGAACCATCTCTGGCAGTTGGACCTTCATACACAAGTTGCACATTCATATGTTATGGACATTCATATAAATGGAATCATACAACATATGACCTTTGTGTCTGGCTTCTTTTATTTATAATAACGTTTACAAGGTTCATCCATGTCGTAGCATATATCAGCACTTCATTCCTTTTTATGGCAGAGAAATATTCCATTGTATGGATACCACACTTTGTTTATCTGTTCATCAGTTGATGTGGATTGTTTCTACTTTTGGCTATTTTGAATAATGCTGCAATGCTATAAACATTCGTATACAAGTTTTTGTATGAACACTGGATATAGATCTTGGAGTGGAATTCTTCTGGATATATACATAAGAGTGGAATTTTGGGGTCATATGGTAATTTTATATTTAACTTTTTGAGAAATTGCCTAATCGTTTTTTTCTACAGCAGCTACAACATTTTACATTGCCACCCACAACGTATGAAGGCTTCACTTTCTCCACATCCTCACCAACACTTGTTATTTTCCTTTTTTATTTATCACCATCCTAGTGGGTATGAAGTAATAGCTCATTGTGGTTTTGATTTGCGTTTCCCTAATGACTAATGATGTTGAGCATCTTTTCATGTACTTATTGGCCATTTGAATATTTTCTTTGGAGAAATGTCTCTTTAAATCCTTTGTCCATTATTTAATTGGGCTCATACTTTTTAAAACCATAAAGTAATAATATGGTTGATATAATATTTAGCAAAACAGTCACTCTATTCCCTAGTTCCAGTTCAGTCTCATGTAGCAATTAGGCCCAACTAGGACAGTTTCATGAAGATTAAATTTGTTAGTTACTGCCTCAGTTAGGGTTCTCAAGAGAAGCAGAATCAGTAGGAGATCTATATCTCTATCTGTCTATCTATCGAGAGACTTATGTTAAGGAATTGGCTTATGCAATTGTGGGGGCTGGCAAGTGGCAAGTTTGAAAACCATAGGACAGGCTAGCAGGCTGGAAACTCAGGCAGATTTCTATGTTGCAGTCTTGAGAATTCCTTTTCTCCAGGAAACCTCAGATTTTGTTTTTAAAGCCTTCAACTGATTGGATGAGTCCACCCACATTGATGGTAATCTCTTAAAGTCAACTGACTGTGACTGTTAATGCCATCTCTGAAATGCAGCAACATCTAGACTAGTGTTTGAGCAAACAGCTGGGCACCGGAGCCTAGCCAAGTTGACACACAAAATTAACCATCACGGTTACCTTATATGATCATATTCACTTATTTTCAGAAAAATGGGACTAACGATGGAAACTATGTCTTTCTAACTGGAGAAGACAATTACCTTAACTTTTCAAAGATTGTGGAATGGAATGGAAAAACGTAAGTCCAATGATTTATCAGTGTAATTATTTTTTAAATTTTCATTTAAAGTGAATGTCCACTTATATATTATTTCAAAAAAATTTTAGCACTGTCATTTTTTGGATGAAAAATCTATAAATATGTAAAATATATTTATAATTATTATTTTATAAATCAGGATGAGGGTAATGCACTTTACAAATTAAATATTAATGGTTTGTACATTTATCATGGTGAGGCGAGAATTACGAGTCAGTGAGAGTTTCCCTCCTCTGCTTAGTGATTGAGTGATGTGTAGCTGCAGCACAAATACTTTTCAAACCACTACATACATGTTTTTTGGGGGAAGGAAGAAGTTCTCTTTTTAATTTAATTTAGTGGTTGTGGATTGTTCATGTATTTTTCTTTAAAGGTGAAATACATTTGAGTTCAGTATTACAACATTTCAAAATTTCTTTTAATATTTATAACTTATAAACAAACTACTTCCAAAAAGGGGCTGAGGCAGCTTGCAATAAAGCTATATATGAAACAAGATATTTTTTTTAAGTCAGAGAAATTAGAAACCTTTGAGAGGAAAGGAGGCTAATTATTCAGGGACTGAGGTAAGAGGAGTTCTGTTCTTGAACGTTAAATTTACTTCTAAGCTTCCCAGAAATACAGGCGAAAAAACTGGTGTGGAATATAGGGGAACTCTATACTATCTTCGCAACTTTTCTGTAAATCTCAAACTATTTTTAAATAAAAAGTTTATTTAAATTTTAAAAAGCACATATTTCTGTGTACATAAACATATTTGCATGCATGTGCTTGCACGCATGGATGCACGCGCGCACACGCATACACACACCAATATATAAGATTCCTGAAAGAATATGTAAGCAACTGGCAACAGTGTTGCCTCTGGAGGAGGGTGCTGTGCTGGAAGGGAAATTTACTTGTAAACAGAATATAGCTGGTTTTTGTTTTAAAACCAATCTGTTATTTTCTTTCCAGTCTTTTAATAGGAGAGTTTAATCCTTTTATATACATATTATAATTACTAGTACATTTATGGTATAATGATATTTAATATATTTGGAATTTTTTTTTCTAGTTTATGTCTATTCTATCCTTAGGTTTTTATGATTCATATTTAATAATATTTTCCCGACGGAACCTAAGGCTATTTATTGTCTCTCTTCTCCTTCCAAACAGGACAATAACTTTACCCATTGCTTAACACACACGCATCTTCCGTGTTATTCTTGTCTACAACTTGTTTCACCTTCTTAGGAAGCCAAATATAAGTAAAAAGTTCGTTATTTTTATAGTAAATATTTAAGTGTACAGACATATTTTATTAATTTTTTGTCCCCTTTTCACATCTTCTCTCAAGTTTAGTTTTCTTCTTGTTGAAGATTATCCATTCGTACAATGTTCTTAACCAGAGGCAGTTTTGCGCCCCCAGGGAACATTGGCGATGTCTGTACACATTTTTGTGTGTGTGTGTGAGGAATATTAGCCCTGAGCTAACATCCATCCTAATCCTCCTCTTTTTGCTGAGGAAGACTGGCTCTGAGCTAACATCCATTGCCAATCCTCCTCCTTTTTTTCCCCAAAGCCCCAGTAGATAGTTGTATGTCATAGTTACACATCCTTCTAGTTGCTGTATGTGGGACACCACCTCAGCATGGCCGGACAACCAGTGTGTTGGTGTGCGCCCAGGATCCGAACCTGGGCCGCCAGTAGCGGAGTGCGCGTACCCACCCAACCGCTAAGCCACGGGGCCGGCCCTGGACACGCTTTTGTTTGTCACAACTGGGGGATGCAGCTGGCATCTACTGGTTAGAGACCTGGGATGCTGCTAAACATCCTATTGTGCACAGGACGGTCCCCCACAAAGAATGATCAGGCTCAAAATGTCAAGAGGTTGAGAAACCCCGCATTTGTGGTTCTTTAAGGATCTGTGGGTGGTAACTTTCTTAGACTTTGCATATTTTAAAATGTCTGTATTTCACTCTCAGTTTTGAATAGTTTTAGTTGGGTGTAGAATTCTAGATCGACAGTTCAAAATTATGAGGCTATTACTCCTTTGACCTTTGATATCTGTCTTTTTTCCTTGGCCTTTTGCAGTTTCCCTACAGCATGTCCAGATTTGAGTTTATTTTTATTTATCCTGTTTGGCCCTTGTGGCATGCTTTCAATCCAACGCCTTGTATCTTTCTTAAATTTTAGAGAACTTTCAGCAATTATCTCTTAACTTATTGCTTCTCTGTTATTTGCTCTATTCTCACCGCTCCCCCCCCCAAAAAAAAACTATTAAACATTTATTGGAGCCTCTCAATCTATACTCTGTAACTTAATTTTTTAATTTAAAATTTTTCTGAGCATATATTTGAATAAATTCTTAGAACTATCTTCCAGTTAACCAATTCTCTCTCCAGTTATGTACTGTCTAGAGTTTTATATATATTGAGTTTTTCTTTCAGAAACTATTTTTATTCTTCAGGTTCAATTTTTCCTGTTTTGGATCTCACTACTCTTGTTTCATTTTTTCTTTTTTAGTAATTTACCATTCATTTCTGAGGATGTTATTCTTTCTTTTATCTCTTTGAGGATACTAAACAACATATTTAAAGTATTAGCCAAATTGTTCAATTATTTGAATTCCTTCTAAAGTGAATTCATCTTCTCCTTGTTGATTTTGTTGCCTCTTAGCATAAATTTCTTTCATTTTTTTAAAAAAAAGATTGATTTGCAGAATTATTTTAGTTGGGAAGTCAGTCTGTTATCAATGCGTGTGTGTGTGTGTGTCTGTCTATCCGTCCTCTTCCCTCTCCCTGTGTGGCACTTTTGCAGTTGGCTCCATGTAGCCCACTCCAGAGCGCCCCCGTCCGGAACCAGTGTATGCGATGGGGCTCCTACCCCCAGCTCTGTAGGCTGATCACAGGTCCAGCCAGAGTCAGCAGCAGCTGGAGTCAGCTTCTGGTTGTGAGGTGTGTCTGGGGCTTCCTGCGTCCCCGGCGCTCAGCTTTGTACCTGTTGAACTCCACCTGGCAGGTGGAAGGTGCTGTCTTTGACCTCTCTTGATGAGCGGGGAATCCCTGCCCCCTAGACCCTGATTTCAATCCCTTGGTGACCTCTTTGAATCCTTATTACCCTCAGGACTAAACTTCTGGTTCTTTCTCCTTGCTTCCAGATCTGCAGCCCTGTGGGCCAGTAGCTTTAGCCCCACTCACCCGTTTGCATTTATCATCTTTTTATTGTCTAGAGAGATGTTTGTGTTTGGGTATAGTGTGGACCTTCTAAATTTCTCTTTTTGTGTTTCATCAGCCACTGCTCTGTGTTTGTACTTGGAAGAGGCCCTCAATTCATGAACTTAGAGGGCCATCTTGAGCAGAGGTTAGGGGTATTGCTATTTATTATCTACTACTATTTATTACTTATCCTTTCCTTTCTTTTGAATTTTGTGCCATTATTCAAAAAATTAATTTTAAAAAAACCGCTATCTCCACTGTGCTTTTAGCAAGTATGAAGTTGATTCAATATTAAGCTTTCTTGTGGCCCAAGAGAAGTCCTCCATTAATTTTGGAACAGAGAGCTGTTCCAAGGGGAGACAGCATTAATGCCCTGTCATGAATATTAAAGAGCTGAGCATATGTGTCCAGAGCTCATCTGTCAGTGGGCTGCCCCTGTACAAGGCTGTTGTTAATGCTAAATTGGATCACTGCTTTAAGTAAGTAGATGTTTCTCAACCTCTGTGTAGGATACTCTTTTTTGGAGGAAGGAAAGAGGGATTTTTGGCTATCACCTCTATCAAAATTGATTTGGGGATCAGGGGTCTACTTTTCCCCCCTCTTGATTCAAACCTAACCAATATCACTCTTGTGTCTGCGTATGAATAAGATTCTGTGGGTAGCCAGCTCTCAGTTAAGTCTTAAAAAGTCCTGACCATTTGAAAAAACCTAAAATCAAATTTGATCATCTTGACTCTTTCTTGTGCTTGTCAATTACAGGTCACTTGACTGGTGGACAACAGACAAATGCAATATGATTAATGGAACTGATGGAGATTCTTTTCACCCGTTAATAACTAGAGACGAAGTCCTTTATGTCTTCCCATCCGATTTTTGCAGGTAAGAACTTTAAAAGAGTTCTCTGACTGCAAGACCACCAGAAGTGTGAAGACTATGTGTTGCTGCATTTATTAGGTGTGGATATTTATGCTTAATCAGTGATAAATGCTGATGGCGTATTGAGAAACAATGTAGTGTGGTGGTTCACAGCACGGACCACAGAGCCTGACTGCATTGGTCTGAATATTGGCTCTACCACTCACAGCTGTGTGACCTTGGGAAAGTTATTTAACCACTCTGTGCCTCACTTTCCTCATTTGTAAAATAAGGATAGAAATAGTTATCTACCTTGGGAGTTGTTACGAGGACAAATGAGTTACTATTAGTAAAATACTTAGCCCAGGGCCTGTCACACAGTAAATAATATTAAGTGTTGGCTCTCAGTTCTTATGATATGCTCTGTGGAGCATGAAATTTGACCTGTCTTTTTCCAGTCAACAGGTAATCCCCACATAGAAGATAAGTCAATCATACTGCTGTCCATCTTTCAGAGTTTATGGGTATTTTCTTAGCTATAACCTTCCCGTTGATCATATTTACTCTCACTTGCCCTGTGATCTCTTCCTCTTTCCTGCTGCTCCTTCTTTACAAAGGAGCGTGATTGAGTCTGCTCTATGGGAAGAAGGCGTCCTCTCTCCACCCTGATTCCCATCTCGCATCATCCACTCCTCTGTCTCCCGCCATTCCTCCTCAAACTGCTTGAATGAGCGGCTGACTCATGCAGCAGCCATTTCCTCTCCACTCGCCCTGCAAGGCTTTCTATGCAACTTCTCAAAGTCAGACGTGACCTAGTCGCATTTGACACTGTTGATTCAGTATTCTCAAGAACTGCTGGTCTTCTGGTGTTTCATATCTCACGTAATTGCACCACATACCCAGTAAGCCCTGTCAGAAACATTCGTGGCTGTAAATTTCACTTCTCTCTTGCACGTAATCAGTAAGCAAGTGCCATCGATTCTTGCTCGGAAGTAGCTCTTGCATTCATCCCCACCTCTCCACCCCCGCCATCTGTGCCAGTCTAGACCCTTTCCATCTGCACACAGAATATCACAGTCACCTTCCAGCTGGCTGCTCTCTTCCATAAATATTTGTGGAAGGATTGAAGGAAGAGAAAGTACATTTGACTGCAATGAACGGAACAAGGGAACCTAGAAGGGCAGTAGGAGGTTTTAAAAAAGATTTGGCACAGAGGAAACACATTCTTATCTGGTACAACCACTTTGAAGAGCCGTTTGGCAATGCTTAGTAAGCCAACGATGTGCAAAGCCCATAATTCTGCACTTTTCTCCTGGTAGTCTGGGCCTGAAGAACTCTGTATATAAATGCAAGGAGACATGTATTGCAGTGCTCATTGCAACATTGTTTGTAGTAATGAAAAACTGGAAGCAATCTAAGTGCTTATAAAAAAGAGACTATAAATAAATTATGGTATATTCATATGATGGAATATCATATGGGATTTAAAATATAAGAACCAGAGCTATGTACATTCATGTAATACATCTTAAAAATATAGTGCTGAATGAGGAAGAAAATTACAGAAAGAATATAGTATACTGTTTTTATAACATTTAAAAATAGCAAACACTGCCATATATTGTTTATGAATGTGCACATCTGTAACAGTATAAAGACCTGAATGGAAATGATGAACCCCATGCTCAGGAGAGTGGTTACCCCTGGGCACCCAGAGAAGGACTAGAATCAGGAGTGTTATACAGAGAGCTTCAGTTGTATCCATAATATATTTTCTATTTATCTGAATGGTATTTGTTATAAAAGGTATTTATTATAATATTATCTCTATTTTTCTGTTTGTCTAAAATATTTCATTAAAAAAAAATGCTGTAGAGGTGGGATGTGCAGTGAAAGGCAACGCCCGTTGTTTCTTACAACCCTGTAAGAGATGTGTCCCACTTCTGGTTCAGAGATGAAAAAGTGGGGGCCCAAAGGCAATTCCCCTCGGCCTTCACATGCAGGGCTGAGGGATGAATTAAGACAACGTTATGTGAAAGGGCTTTGTCGGTTACTCAGGGGCCGTGCAAATACCAGGGTGGTTCGTGTTATACGGGACCCCTGTTTGAAACTCCCTAATGACTGAAGGCAGAATTATTCCAACTTCGTTGAAATAAACGACTGGGGCAAAATATGGAAACTACTTTTATTTGGGGGAAATGGGTATCAAAGTATATAGTCTAATCAAGTATCTGTCTAACTTGGCACTTTTCCAGGCCCTAAGAATCCTCCAGGCCAAGCCCGTCACCGCCTCTTCTGCTCTTGCTTTGCCTCTCCTTCCCCTGTGCTTCCCTTTCTTTGCTGCTGCTTCGTCCACACTGGCATGTCCATGCTGGTCTAGATGGTTCTTTTATTTCTCTCAATGTGAGCCTCCATTCTAAAGGTCATCTTCTTAATTTTCTACCACACATTATATTTTTTTTCTTTGGCCTTTTTTGGATATTATCATAGTTGCTGCATCTTAAACATCATCTTTCGTTCCAATTCATCTTCTACTTTATGACACATTGAGTGGGTTGAGCTCCTTGCAAGCTTTCTTTCTCATCTTCATTTTCCACTGACTGTGTAAGCTTTCCGCCACGTTGTACCTGAGAACGGGTGCTAACTTACTGATTTGGGGCAGATTGCACTGACTGGAACCCACCTTGACTTTTTCTTTTTCCTTCCTAACAGGTCAGTGTATATAACTTTCAGTGACTTTGAGAGTGTCCGGGGACTGCCTGCCCTTCGGTATAAGGTGCCTGCAGAAATATTAGCCAATACCTCAGACAACGCCGGCTTCTGCATACCTAAAGGGAACTGCCTGGGCTCAGGAGTCTTGAATGTCAGCATCTGCAAGAATGGTAAGAACTCAGAGGGGGCCTGCGGTTGAGTGTGCAGAGGCCAGGATTGGTGTTCTTCCGCAAAGAATGTCGTCAGCCCAATAGAAAGAGTGATTCTGACCTTTTAAGAATAATGTTTTGTAAGATGGCTATAGAATGGCAAAAAATGATTGGCTTTTCTGTAATGCCTTTTCTCGCTAGAATGCCATGTTGTGTTTTCTCTGGGCAGTAGTGTAGACGTCTTAACAGTAATAATAGTTCATGTTTATTGAGCATTTACACCAGTCACTGGTCAGCGAGGCGTTTTTCTCAGTGGTTTCCATATTTATATGTAGTTATTATGTGTAAAGTGTTAACTGATTTCATGTTCAAAGCAATGCTAAAAGAGAAAGAGAACTCGGTAATAAGGAAGTACCTATCTTGGTAAAGATTCTCAGTGATTTCCAAGCAGAGTTAGTTTTACACCCTGACTGCAATTCCCAGTGTTTCTTAATGTCTGAGACACTCTGCTCCTTTCTAGGAACGAGGCAGAATTATTGATAGTACAGCTGACAGTGCATTTTCTTCATCTTGAGGACTAGTTTTAACAATTATGTGTTGCATAATTATTCACAGTAGTCTTGCTAGATAGACATCCAATGACCTCTTTTTTTTGTGAGGAAGATTGGCCCTGATGTTAGCTCATCTATTTTGTATATGGGATGCTGCCACAGCATGGCTTGATGAGTGGTGTGTAGGTCCGCGCCTGGGATCCGAACCCGCGAACCCTAGGCTGCCAAAGCGGAGCGTGTGAACTTAACCACTACACCACCGGGCCAGCCCAGTGGCTTCTTTTTATAATTGTGGAAACTAGGGCGCAGAGAAGGAACTGATTTTTATCAGATCCTTATCCCTGCTGGGACTTAGGGTCTTCCCCTATTCGTACCATGATTCCTCCTAGGCTCCGATTCCTCTTTGAAGTTTCTCTTGAGAAACTTGGTAACTTCTTTCTCCTGAATGAAGTTGTCCTTTTCTCCTGAATCAAGTAATGTGCTAACTTTTGCCCCCTTGTCTAATTAGCTTGAAAATCTCCTTTTGGGATAAGGCTGAAGGTCAGTGGTATACCTCCCTATCTTTGTCTGATGGGGCAGTGGCTCCCAAACCTGGTCTTGCATCAGAATTATCTGGAGAATCATTAAAAATATCTGTTCCAGGGCCACATACTATGGCCCCAAAATCTGTTTGTGTTTTTGTTTTGTTTTTTTTGCAGGGGAAGATTTGCCCTACGCTAACATCTGTGCCAATCTTCCTCCTTTTTTCTTCCTCTCCAAAGCCCCAATAGATAGTATGGTATAGTTGTAAGTTCTTCTATGTGAGCTGCTGCCACAGCATGGCTACTGACAGACGAGTGGTGTGGTTCCGCGACTGGGAAACGAACCTGGGCCACTGAAGCAGAACGTGCTGAACTTTAACTGCTAGGCCATCAGGGCTGCCTCTCAAAATCTATATTTTTAACATGAGCTCCAGGTGATTCTCATGAAGATGGTGCCTACGTATTTGGGCACCCCTGTGCCAGGGAACACAGCACCCGTTACCTAAAGATAAGACCAAAGGTGAATGGAAACAGCTTCCTGCTTCTGACCTCTGCTGCTGTCTTCCTGGGTGAATGGTCCTGAAACAGTGCCCTGCACGCGCAGCCTGTGTGCTTCTGGCTCAAGGCACAAATGTAGACATATTTTTCTTGCTGTTTTATTAACATTCTGCTTCCTCAAGAAGTTGATGTCAGAATCAGTAGAAAGATTCTACTTTGCACCAGTCAAACCTCTTGCTACAAATCTTTTCCTCTTGCCTCTTATGTATTCCTAAGTGTGGATGGAAACGTTAAACTCTCCAGGATTATCCTCAAGTGTTCTGAATTCCCCAGGGGCACATTTTGGATAGTGAGGTGAGGGAGTATTCTGGAGTGAGGCAGATCTGAGTTTGAGTCCTGTTCTATTTGTTAGCAAATTGGCCAACCTGATGAAGGAGGGTTTTGGACATCAGTTTTCTCATTTGTAAGATGGGCTGTTTATTACTTCCTTGGAAGGTTGTGTGAAGGTTAGAGATAGTATATGTGAAATACTCAGGACAGTGTCTGGCCCTTATTAAGTCCTCAACAGATCTGTAAAAATACATTTTAAAGGTCACTGTAGGTCACGAAGAAGGAAATTATGTCTTGTGAAACCCGTTAGCAATAAAAAGCAAAACTCTGTATATGTGACAAATGATGTGTATCTTGAGCCGTGGACTGGTGGATATGTCAGCAGATTTAAATTGCTTGCCAAATAGATGTTAGCTCAGAGCCAGTCTTCCTCAGCAAAAAGAGGAGGATTAGCATGGATGTTAGCTCAAGGCTGATCTTCCTCACAAAAAAAATAAATAAATAAATAAAAATAAAAATAAATTGCTTGCCAATAAGCTAATTTCTCCAAAAATATTTTTCCCTGGCAGCAAGTATTGGATCCCTCTCTCCTCTTCAATAGCAAAATCTAGAATAGATTTCCTTTAATAACTTGCTTCCCTATTTGTTTCTTAAAATGAGTAGGAAAGAAAAAACCAGAGTCTTCCTGTGGGCAGCCCTTGATCTAATCAGAGGCTGGGCACATGGCATGACCAGGCAGAGTCTTAAAAAATTCTGCATCAACATATGCAGAAGGACAAAGCCTGTCTTAGGTAAAATAAAAACAGAAGGACAGAAAAGCAAGGGGAAAGAAGCCCGTTTACTGGTAGAGAATTGTAGTTGAAGCAAGTGCTTTGCAATGAGACACCCCTCATTCTGTCAGGATTCCGCCTTCATTGCCTGCTAGCTGCATGTCCCTGGGTACATTTTGTAACTTCTCTGAACCTCACTTTCCTCAAATGCAAAATGAAGATAATGGTTCTAACTTCATAGGGCTGCTTGGAACGTTAATTAAAATAATGTGTATAAAGCATTTATATTTTATACATTCAGTAAATATTTGCTGAAGAATAAATAATTTAGCCAGGACTTCAGTATATTGTGGAATAAAATGATGTGAAAGTAAATGAGATCTCAGAAAATGAAGTATAAGGCCCAAACTAGGAGGTGTAGAATGGAATTTTGGCCTGCCCCTCTCCGCCACCCAAGTTTACTTATGCATAGCTTTTTCCCCCTCTTAGCAAACAGGTTTGCGGTCATGAACTTTATATTCATCTTAGACTTTTAAGATCCACACCACCATTTCTGTTTTGCTTAAAACGCAGGTGCACCTATTATTATGTCTTTCCCACACTTCTACCAAGCAGATGAGAAGTTTGTTTCTGCCATAGAAGGCATGCATCCAAATAAGGAATATCATGAGACGTTTGTGGACATCAATCCTGTGAGTACACATGTCCTCCTGGTAAAAGAGCGTGTGTTTTATTCTGTCTGTCTATACAGTGTTCACCAGTTTAGTCCTGAGCACTCTTAAGAAATATACCATCTTCCTTTCATATACATTCAAGTGGAGGAAACCCAGCTCAGTGGAATGTGGTGCATGGTCTCATAGCCCTTTAGTTAGAAGGCCAAATTCTGTGGCCAAATATGCAGAAATATCGCAAATCTGCTTTAACAAAAAAGCAACAGTGGAAGTTCCATCATTGGAAACAACTGAGATTGGACCCATGTAACCTGGTCAATCTTCTGTCGCCAGAAGAAGATCGGACCTGAACACATACATGTTTCTCCCATCGGGGCACAGATCAGCAAGGTGGAAGACATTCCTCTGCTTACTCACTGCCAGGCATATTTTGCTTGAAATTTAAATATATATATTAGCTTCAGTCACTTTTGGCAAACCTCTTTCTACTGGTACTTTTGAGAGTTTCTTATATTATGTAAAAGGCATCAGACGTACATATACTTTAATCCTGTATTCATAGAGTAGAAAACTAAAACCCTGTTAACACGATGTGAATATCATTTCACAGTGTGAGAGCTTCTCACTATAGGAACTGAACTAAAGGTCAGATATCTTCATTCTTGGCCTTTTGAATACATGGCACGATAAAAGAAAAGCAAAAACATCCTTTTAGTGCAGCAGTTTATGGGGACTTCATTTTTAGCCACATTCGTTGCATTTGTATCTGAGAAATTGGTGGTCTTATCTTTTTATGAATGAGATCTGGTGTGGTTTTCTCCCTTTTCTCTCTTAGCCATCAGTCAGTTCCTTTTCATCAGTCAGACTGTTAGCAGGTGCTTGTCCCCAGGGGCTGGGCGCAGCCCCATAACCTTAGTGCAGAGTGCAGAGGTGGAGCCGTCAGGGGACGGTGACCGCTGCAGCTGTCCCTTGTGGCCCTGTCAGGTGGGCCCCGACTGTACTTGGGCACCATGCTCTGCCTGTGACCACAGTCCTCATTGCTCTCCGGACATCCACCAGAGGGTATCTGCTGGGTCTCCCTCCTCCCAGGGTCCTCTAGGGCTTTGTTATTCAAAGTGGCAGCATTCTGGGGGCTTGTTAGAAATGCCCAATCTCAGGCCCCACCCTGGACCTACTGAGTCAGGATCTCCATTTTAACAGGGTCCCCAGGAATTCACACGCATATTAAAGTTTGAGAAACATTGCTCCACCAGGCACCTGCTGCAACACAATGCACAGTTCTCCTGGGTCAGTTTGCCCTTGTCCCACTCTGTCAGACATGGCGGTGGCCACTCTGTTTATCAGAACCACACGGAAATAGTGCTCTATTGAAAAAAATTGTGTTTGTGGTTTTAGTAAATCCTAATGTTGTCTTTCCACTTCTCTGATTTGCAGTTGACTGGAGTTATCCTAAGAGCAGCCAAGAGGTTCCAAATCAACGTTTATGTCAGAAAATTAGACGACTTTATGTAAGTTTTGCTTCTTTCTACAGAGGCGGAGGGTAGTTGTGCTACATTGACTTTCTGGTACGGTTGATATCGGGAGGAATACAGCCTGCTTCTAAGTTTGCTCACCCTGCCCTTCAGGGATGAGGCAAGATCAGCATTTTCATAGGCTGCCTTGGTCTTGGAATTTACTTATTTTATTTAACCAAACATTTATAGATGCTTTCCATGGATCAGGCATTGTTCTAAGTAGTTTACATCCATTAACTCATTTATTCCTCACAATAACCCTGTATTATCCCCATTTTGCAGATGAGGAAACCCAGGCACAGAGAGGTTAAATAACTTGCTAGGACTCACACAGCTAATAAGGCTACAGAGTCTGCTCTTACCCACTGCACTAAGCAGTTCCCTCGCTGTGACTCTGTTGCCTCCCTTCCTTTCTTTCCCGCTGCTCCCACCCGGGGCCAGCCACAGGCTCTCACGTGGACAGTTAAAATAGTCTGAGTCTAGCCTTCCCTCCCCACTCTCCATCTAAAAACCACTACTTAATTAGGATTCCTAAGTAGAATCTCCCGCTCAGACTTTTCAATGGGAATTCTTTGGATATGAGAAACTGCTTGTGATTTAATGTTGAATGAAAAAACAGGATGTAAAACTATACATGGTATCATTGTATCTATATCTATCTGTCTATCTATTCTTTCTTTCTGTCTATAGTTTATCTAACTGTCGACACAAGTAACCAGTAATCAATCTATAGATTAAAAATGGGGTGAGTTTATCGTGTGAGCCAGCTGGAGGATGATAGCCCAGAAGCATTCTCTCCACCAGGGAAGAAAGCACTGTGGAGAAGCGAGGTCTACAGCATGGCTTTATACCTTTTTATTTTCTTTTACTACAGTCACAAGATGTTTTGCTATGTGCACAGCAGGTCAATCTGACCCTAGTTTCTGGGAAGGAATTCTGATTTTTAAAGAAATGCTGGGGGCCGGCCTGTGGCTTAGCGGTTAAGTGCACGCGCTCCACTACTAGCAGCTGGGGGTTTGGATCCAGGGCGCGCACCGACACACCGCTTGTCCAGCCATGCTGAGGCAGCATCCCACATACAGCAGCTAGAAGGATGTGCAACTATGACATACAACTATCTACTGGGGCTTTGGGGAGAAATAGGGGAAAAGAAGGAGGAGGATTGGCAATCAATGTTAGCTCAGGGCTGGTCTTCCTCAGCAAAAAGAGGAGGATTGGCATGGATATTAGCTTAGGGCTGATCGTCCTCACAAAAAAAAAAAAAAAAGAAATGCTGATATGGGGGAGGCATTCATCCCTGTCTTTAAAGGCAGCGTTCTTTGCTTTGGGATACTGTTTAATGTTTAAAGTAGACGTACAATGCATACGTGACAGGCCAGGTCAGGCCATTCTGGAAAAACAAGTTCAGGCTGAATCACTTTTAAACCAAAATGGCTTCCTCATATACATCAATATTTTAACTTTCCTTATTAATTTTATTGCTTCTCACTTATTCCATCATAAGTATCTATCTATCTATCTATCTATCTATCTATAAAACTTGGTTGATTCCCCCATCAGATTTGCCAGATTTAACCCCACATGTCATGGATCTTTCTAGGAAGCACATGTGGTTTGTAAGAATGCATTTTGTCACCTGTGTGTGTATTTTGGAGGCAGTATTTAGTAGTTAAGATCTAGAGCCTTAGAATCAAAATGGAATTACAGTCCTGGCTCCACCACTTATTCATGGTGGTCGTGGGCAAATTACTCTTGAGCCATAACCTCCTCATTTTAAACCTGGGACAGTAATACCTACTGCATGAGGTAGAGAGCTGGTGGGCACAGAGCTGGTACATGGTAAACACTCAATAAGTGGTTGCTCCGGGCTCCTGTGAAGACAAGACTTGGTCGCCTGATTACAAAATATTCTGAAGAATGGCAGCATTGTTCTGCTGGCTGTAGCTTTCCCTCTGATAACTCTTGGGAGAAGAGTAGTCATTTTGATGAATTTGTTCTCAGGATCTTGTGTTTTGATAAAAACACTTTACATAAATGTGCAACACTTGGAATTGCTAGACTGACAAATTGGAATCTAACTTCTGGTTGATATGTGTTTGCAAAGATAACTAAGAAGTCTGCATAAATTCCAGGTAATTTAATGAAATAAGCATGCTGGAATTATCATATAAACTTTTCAGAGCAGTGTGCCATTATCATGAGGATGTCTATAAAATAATCTCATCTTTTGTCTTTGTAGTGAAACGGGAAACATTAGAACCTTGGTTTTCCCAGTGATGTACATCAATGAGGTAAGTCCTGGGACGGAGTCACAGGTGCGTTTTACCTGTGGAAGGTTGGGAAACTTCCATCATGATGTCCGCTGTTATAGCTATGTGTAATTTAAGATGTGAACCAGAGGGAAAGGTGATTTTTAAAAACCTGTTTGTCCTCAGAAAATTTCTGTTTATATGTTTACACGAAGTGGCCTGTGTCTGAGATTTGAAAATGGCAGAAAGAAATTGCCCTTCTCAAGAACATTATTTGGGTGAAACTCCTTTCTGGGAAGCTGATTATGTGAGAAACAAAATGTAAAGGTAAATGAAACCACGTCAGACACAGTTGAAACAGAATAAATAGCCATATAATAAATAGACTCAGATAGATGTCCAGTTCAACATTTCTATGGGTCTCCTCCATCTTTGAATCTCTGGCTGTTTGTGAAATGTGATTGGTGTACCATTCATTAGTTGAGGAGGAGGAAAAGAGAGCAAAATTAAAATGATTTGCAACATTACATGAAAATTTTGTGTAAGGTGGTTAAAGAAATGATTAAATAGCAGGTGATATATGCCCATTGATTTCAGTGATACTTGGTTGCCTTATCCATCATAGTACTGAGTTTTTTTCTACTTTCTGGTAAACAGATATATATTGTGAATTATAGGAAACAGATCCTGTCTTAGTTCAAACAACAGGAGTTTCCCTGAAAAAAATATTTCTTTCACAGTGTACCTACAGAAATTTTATCCCTAAATGTTATGTATAAATTGAAGTTTTGTAAATAAAAGCATATTCTGAAAGCTCAGAAAACACCTGCTCTTTAAGAAACTTGTGATAAATTCTTTTGCAAATTACGTATCACATTTACTGTATGTAGTTACATCTCCTCAATTTCCCTCCCTTTTCCGCCTAGTTCTAAGGCGAAAATTGCAGCCTTTTTCCCTCTCAATAAATTCTCCATTGGCTGGCTTCTGTTGTTAACAGCTGCATTTTTTAAAGTTTTTATTATTTTTCTCTCTTCCTTAAAAATACTTGTTCTTTGTAGAAAATCTAGTAACAAAGATTAGCAAGAAAGGGGAAAATTAAAATTACTTTTCACAAAACCTCAGCCAGGACAACATATTGCTTTTAACTTGCTTTATTTTACTCAATAATGTGTTGTAAAATTTTTTCTGATAACAACTTTGTAAAAAATAATTAAATATTTTACACTTTGTAAAACTAACCTGTGCTCTTTGTAGAACTCTTGGGAAATTAAAAAAAATACTTAATAAGTGAATCACTATATGGATATCAAATCATTATATTGTACACCTAAAACTAATATAATGTTATATGTCAATTATACTTCAATTTAAAAAATTTTTTTAACTGTTTAAAAAGTGAGTGACTGACAGGTCTGTCCCTCAGAGATAGGTGCAGTTGACATCTGCTTATGTTGCCTCTTAGTATTTTTCTGGTTTTGATATTACCTAGTTGGGGCCAAACTGTAGATACAGTTTTATATCTTTTTTTTTCATTTGGCATTATATTGGTAGCCACATTTATAAACTTTTGAAGGGTTTGTGATTACAATTCTAAGACAAGACTTTTATTGTTTCATAGGAAAAATTCAGCCAATATTTACCAATTTATAGGACCTATTTGCAATTGCTCCTGGGTCGTCACTGTTATTGTTTGTGGAGAGGGGCATGAGAGCAGAGCTTTTTGCAAATAAGGAAGGGCCCTGTTCTGCTAGCTTGTCTTCATAGTCGTGGCATATTTGAAGTCCCCTCCATCCCAACTTTTACTTTGCTTTTTGTTAAAGACTAGATTTAGTCCAGGGAACGATGGAGCAAAACCTATGCCTCATAGAAGAACGTGACTTTACTCTAGAAAAATAAGACATTAGACCTGGAAGCAACCGTGGAGACTGCTCTCCCACCTCCTTTCTCCAGAGGCAGAAACTCTGACCCTGATGGGCCTTGGCCAGTTACTGGAAGAACCAGCCCTAGAACCGCATTCTCTGCCTCAGTCCAATGCACGTTGAGCCTCAGTTAAGCCCAAAGTCCCATCTGTTGCTCAGAATTTTTATGGAATTAAGCTTTCCAGATACCTTACCTATGGCAGTTTAAGGTAATAATACCTTTGCCTTGCATACAGAAAGTGTTATTCTAGAACATTTCCTTAGTTGTCAACACCCTCTGGAATTCTGGTTAACCTCAAGACTTCCCTCAACACTTTCTGTTAAGACCTTGGTCCTGATTAGTACAGATCTAACCAAGAGAGAAATTATACTTTTCCACATACCATTGTTGGAATGTTCTATTCATTCATTCATTTACTCTACTGACATTAATTGAGCACCTACTGTGTGTGGGGTGCTTTACCCAGTGTTGAAATAAAAGCCTTGCCGTCGGGGACCTCGCAGTCGTGAGGAGACCAACAGGCAGACAGACAGTTAGAATGCAGAGTGTAAAGACAGTGATGGAGGATTTTAGAGAGTGAGATGCAAGTGCGTAAAGGGGCCTTGAACCAGGCCTGAGGTGGCCAGAGAAAACTTCTGGAATGAAGTTATGCTGAGCTGGATTTTGAAGGATGAGTTGGAGTTGTCTGATACAAAACAAAAGGTGATACTATCTCAATGTTTCTGAATATTTCCCCTCCTTTTTCCAACCTATTTTGAGAGTAAAACATCTTCAGAGGAAAAGGGAAGATGTGTATGAATAAATGCCTCCTCTGCTTGCTCTAATTTATGAATGGATTTTCAGTGTGTCTGGTCTTCTAACAGGACGACATATCCAAATTATGTTTAATGATTTGAGAGAAAGATATAGCAAAAACTTTACACCCCAGATATTTAGGAATCAAGGGAATACTACTTTCTTGCTCCCCCCTAGAGTGTTCTCATTGATCAAGAGACTGCGAATCGGCTGAAGTCGGTGATTAACACTGCTTTGATCATCACCAACATCCCCTACATTGTCATGGCGCTGGGCGTGTTCTTTGGTTTGGTCTTTACCTGGCTTGCATGCAAAGGACAAGGATCTTTGGATGAGGTGAGCAGTGGCTGGAGGACTCCTCCCTTACTAGATAGCGTTGCCTGAGGAATTCAGCTGTGCCTCATTGAAGGGCTGTCAGCTGGATCATTAGGGCGGGTTCTGAGGTTTTATGCTGGGCATGGTGATTCCATGATTACTGCTGGACCAAATGAGAAGCAAGAGAAGCGTGTCAAAGAAGGAGGGGTGATAGAATGGGACTGTCCAGTATTGGGGGCTCTCTTGGTGGGAATGGAATCCCTGGGAGTAAGCTTTACATCTTTGAAAATAACCTGAAAGAAGAAGAAGAATATATAACAGCTAAGCACCTCGGCTTTGGTGTCAGACTGCCTACGTTCAAATCCCAGTTCTGCCACTTTAATAGCTGTGTGACCCTAGAAACTGTGCCTCGGTTTCTTCACCTGTAAGATGGGATAATAATAGAGCTTCCCTTAGGAGTTTTTCATGAGGATTGGATGATGATGTACACATAAAGCACTTAGCCCCATGTTGGCATTTAGTAAGAGCTCAGTAAACATTAGTTATATAATACAACTGCTCTAAGATTAGAGAGCAAGGCAGCCAGAGACCTGCTTGGAAAGAATCCCTGATGTATCAGGTGATACCTACCATTGAGTCATCATTACATAATAAATGATTAGTGCAGGGGAGTAGTTAATTTCCTGGAGGGATGGGAACAACCCCAAATGGATGGGATAAACAGGGTCAGGTTGGCTTCCCTAAGTGACCAGCAGGCCAACCCAGGTGTCTAAATACCTTCAATGAGCCTTTTCTGTAGAAGCCTTCTTAAATTCTCAGAAGTTTCTATTGTGCAAAAAGGCTTTTTTTCCTCCTAGCTGCCTCAACTAAGTGTCTGAGGCAGACGTGAAGTAGGAAATGAAACAGGTGGAAACCATCTGAATAAGATGAGCTCAGAGTTCCCTGCCTTCCATGTTCTTCCATTATGTCTCTTAACCCAGGCCCGTCACGTTAGGTGTGAGGCCACTATTTTGCCATTTCTCTCTGTGGATCTTACTTCCAGTCTGACATTGTGCAGTCACTGAGATTTTCATGAGCACAGAAGGTAGCCCACGTCAATGTTATTACTGCTCCTACAATTAACTATGTTCACATATTCAACAAGCAAGCAATTATTGAGCACCCACCACCTCCGAGACATTGTTCTCTGCTAGGTTTCAAACCAGGAAGGACGCAAATTCAATAGAGTGTGATGAGGGTTATAGTCCGGGTCAAGGGTACTGCTCCTATTCTGGGGGGAGAAGGAGGGTGATCAGAGCAGGCTGCCTCAAGAAGGTTAGGGCGAATGTTAAAGAAAGAGCAAGAAGGAGCAGGCCAAGAGAAGAGAAAGGTGAGGGGGATGACTGCCTTCCTATCAGCATCTCCTTCCACCGCCCTCAGCTTTTCACATCTGGGGAGAAGTTTCTGATGTGACACTAACTTCACTGTCCTCTCTCTTCTGAGTCACAGGGAACTGCAGATGAAAGAGCACCCCTCATACGAACCTAACGTGGCCTGAGCTTGGTGAAGGAACCGCGAGAGCTGGCCTGGCCTGGACCACGACGTGGGGAACTGTCCGCGTCCTCACTGGCTCACTGCCTGTTGTAGAGAAGAGGGCAGAAGACCCAGAGCTGGCAAGTGATGAGAGCATTCCGGCCGGAGGTTAAATTACAACAGGCTGACATGGTTGGCCATTAGGCTTTATAAAATCCTGTGGTCCCTGACCACTTGTTTTGTTTTTCATGTGTCTAGCAAGTATTTAATAAACTCTTGTATAGTAATTTTTGTTGTTGGGTGCTGGTAGCTCCAGAATTTTGTGACCACTTCCATGGTTATAATGTCTCTGCATCACTTGTTAATGCTACTTGGTCTAACCTTATTCAGTATGCCTCATGCACCAAACTTTGTGCTTAAAATATATATATACCATTTTATGTTCTATTCCTCCATTCATTTCATCCTCAACACAGAAGTAAATGAGAGTTCGGAACCCAGGGTAAAACGGTAGCCTCAGTGAGTACATTATTCAAATGCGCCTAATTTCCTAAAAGTTACATATTGCATTTCATGCTAATCTCCAGTTCATAATTCCTCCAGGAAAATAATTCGGTCTTCTGACTACTTTCCTATGGGTAGGAATCAATTGGGGACGGGCTTGGGTGGGGTGAGGTATGCGGTGGGTGGTGCCCATGAGTTGATAGTTGAAAAAACCTGAGGATTTTTTACTTGTGCTTTTGTGAATCAGGAGAATGCATACACGGTGTTGGTGAGGACAAGTACAGATATTTCCTGTAGAGTAGAACTGAATGCTGGTTATGACATTTGTGGGTAGTTTGTTATTTTTTTTAGTGAAAATGATCTTGATGTGGAAAGGTGTTTCTGGGAGAATGTAATCAGTAACTGATTTTTCCCCCCAATCACCTTTGCCAAATATGATACTGTATTAATTACAATACTATTGAGTGATTATTTGTAAAATTATTTACAAACATAGGAAATCCATTCATCCACAGCCTAAGTTACATATAAATTTTAGGAAGTCTGACTACACTAAAGAGACATTTTTCTGGGGCAGTCTTCTTGGTAACTTTGAAATTACTTTTGTAAGTTATTCTTTTTTCCTCAGATTCAGTTCCTTCCAATGTCTTGTGGCTCCCTGTCACTCACTGAATAGAGAAAACTGTACCCTACACTTCCTGTGACAATCATTTTGCTGACAGAATGACGGTATTTTAAAATATTGCACAGAAAGTGCTTTAAAGAAAGGTCCCTTGGGCCCAGAAGCAGAGCCACTTCTCTTCAGAAGACCTCTTGGCTTTCAGTGTAACCTAAGTCAGAGGATTGGGAACCATCATATGTCACAGAATTCAATATTTAAGGGCATTTTCTTTGAGTCTCAAAGTTCAACTATTCATTTTTGGTTGAGAAACCTATACAGTTAGCTGGCAAAGTGCTCACAGAATTTCTTAACAACTGAATCATTCTATGGGATTTTTGTTTAAAACTGGATTTCAGTGTAAGCAAATAAAGAAAAAAAGCCATAGATTTCACTAACATAGCTTCTGATCCCAGGATGCAGATAATAAATCTTTTAGTTTACTTGCCCCGATTTTCCCTCTCTCTACATTAAAGCGATCTGTGATATGTTTCACTTCTTCAAGGGGCAATTCATTAAACTCTCAAATTCTCTATAAATTAAGATAGAACCTATAGATATCCCTCATCACCAAAATGTGAAACACTGAATCGAAAATATTTTGTCTTTCAAATATCTAGATGTTTTGCATTTATCAATATTTACTAGATACTTGGCATATCTTATTGTTTTATGCATCACTTATCCACACTAATAAAACTGATAAGCCAGTGCATACTAACTGGTTCGTCCTATTATCAGGGTATAATCATCTGAGGAGGAAATTTTTAAATACTATGAATGATGACATAACAGCTAATGATGTACACCTTCAGACAGAATCCCACACAGGCAGGGAGACCAGAAACATATTATTTCCATATCTGTGACATGATTCTTAATATTTACTTGGCTTAAAATCACATTTGATATTTTCCTTCTGAAAAGTCTGTGGCAAACCCATAAACTGCAGTCAAGATTATAGATTAAGAAGAAAGAATGTACCTATTTGGTTTTAGGTTGAAAATAACAAACTATTCCTCATGCTCATTCTCTTGGAGCTGTTATCTTGGAAAGGGTCCCTAAAGTCTCTGTGATTGTCAGCATTGTCACAGTCACAGAATACGGGTGTCCTGTACTATGATACTCAATTTAGAGAGGGAAAAACCAAGACAGAGAGAGGTTACCTCACTTCTCTCAGGGAAAATGGGGAGTTGAACACAGGACAGGAAATAGGCTTTGCCACTTTTAGCTCCAGGCTTTTCCCACTAGACTTTATTTCGTCATGTGCTGGAAAGATCACTAATGGTCAAGTGGAGCAAGTACTATACGACTAACCCCTATTGGGGTTTTTACTTAAGGGAGGCTAATTTTTTGTTTAAATTGCCCAAGATATGAGTTCTGCAAAGGTGACCTTCATACTTGGCCCTCTGGGCATTACTACTGGATTTAATTTGCTTGTGGCTATTAAAGAGAATACTGACAAGGATGCTCTTCATGTAGCTTATACAGTTCATTCATTTCGTGTGATTCTTGACATGTATATTTCTACCCTTAATGCAATGAAGTGTTTCACTAATAAACAAACATTTATATGAAATTGCACTGGAAATTGTATGTGATGTCATCAAATGTCCAGTTGTCTATGGGGTTTCATTTGAAAGATGCTCTTTGCCCTCTTGCTGGACGCAGGCCTGAGTCACAGCCCTGGGCCACCTCTGATTTCAGCTCTGCTGTGGTGGACAGTCAACAGGCAGCCTAACAGGTCTCCATTCAAGCAGGTCCCACACTCTGCTTTTCCGCCTCAGGGCTTTCTCCATGTCCTGGAAGCCCCTCAAGAGTACTGGGGAGTTAATGTCCCCAGGGCAAGCCTAAACCAAAGTGGGCAGGAGTCAGCTGATAAATGTTCCAGTCCTCAGAGGGACAGTTCTCAGGCTTATTCTACATGGTTCCTCAACTAGGATTGCCCACAGTGGGAACTGCTTCCTGTTACCATTTCTTCATTCCCTGTCTCCCTCTACCCGCCCCCTCACTGCTGTTTCCTTGCAAATAACTAATATCCTTATTCAGGTCTGCTTCCAGGTAAACACAAACTAAATGCAGACAGTCCACCCAGAAGGGCTCGGCAGGACCAGAGAGCTATTGGAGAGGTACTAGACTTTTGTTTCTGGGGATACTTGGACTAAAGTTATTAATCCAAGAAATTTAGATTAAAACTTGTCTGATGCCAATAATATTGCATCTTATTTCTAAAATCAGAGCAAATCCAGATCAGTCATAAAATATCCAGCACAGTGTTACAAATGTCCTTATGTATTAAGGACACGTGATCCCTAGCATATGCGCTTCCTAGGAATCCCAAGTCTGATTTTAGCTGGCTTATGTCATAAGGGAAGCTCTTTGTATCTATTTCTGCTTCCTCAAAGGTATATATAGAGACACCTGGAACTTTGTAACATTCCAAGCCTAATTACTTCAACTCAAGAAGCAAGAAAAATCCAGAAAGTATATTTAAAAGAATATTGGCCAGCCCTGTGGCTTGGTGGTTAAGTGCGCACGCTGCAATGCTGGTGGCCCGGGTTCGGATCCCGGGTGCGCATCGAGGCACCACTTCTCCATCCATCCTGAGGCCGAGTCCCACATACAGCAACTAGAAGGATGTGCAGCTATGACATACAACTATCTACTGGGCCTTTGGGGGGAAAAAATAAAATAAATAAAAATAAAAATCTTTAAAAAAAAAAAAATACTAATTACGGGTGACATGTACTGCCAGGTATTAAAGCATATACCCATGAAAAATAACTAAGAAAGTGTGGTATAGGGTAAGTGGTATAGAATACAAAGTCCAGAAACATGGATACACATTTAAGACAAGATAAAAGTCCCATTTCCGATAATAACTATAGTCTCATTTATTCAACTAATATATTTTTTATTTTTAAACGTCTATTGAGGTATAATTTACATACTATAAAAATTCACCCATTTTAAATGTACAATACAATGGTTTTTAGTAAATTTACTGAGTTGTGTGGTTTTATTATCACCTCAATAAAATCCCTCACGCCATGGGGCCGGCCCAGTGGTGTAGTGGTTAAGTGCGCGCGCTCCACTGCTGGCGGCCATGGTTTGGATCCCGGGTACGCACCGACACACGGCTTGTCAGGCCACGCTGTCGTGGTGTCCCACGTAAAGTGGAGGTGGGCACAGATGTTAGCTCAGGGCCAGTCTTCCTCAGCAAAACAAGGGGAGGATTGGCATGGATGTTAGCTCGGCTGATCTCCCTCACAAAAAAAAAAAAAAAAAAAAAAATTCCCTCATGCCAGTTTACAGTTGATCCTTATTCCCACCCCCAGCCGGAGGTAACCACTAACCCACTTTCTGTCTCTATAGATTTGCCTTTTCTGGACATTTTATATAAATAGAGATGTACAATATGTGGTCTTTGGGCCTGGCTTCTTTCTACATTATACTTAAAAATAATGTGTTCAACCAATTTTATTGAGCAGCCACTTTATGTCAGGCACTATAAACTAGGCTACTGGTGACCAAAAAGAGACATATAGATCTTATGGTCTCGTCGGGGAAACAGACAGTAACCAAAAGTCACAAATGTAAAGTCTGGTAACATGACTCTGAGTTGAGGGAAGGCTTCCCCAGTGGAGTAAGATTTGACTGAGACTGGAGAGTAGGTGTTACTTAGGCAAAGCAAAGCATTTCAGACAGAGAAAACAGGATGTGCCCAAGAGCAGAAAGGAGCTTGTTTACAAGTGATTGAGAAAATGTTTGGCTGGAGTTCAGAGAGAGAAGAATAGTGGGAGATAAGGCTAGAGAGAAAGGCAGGGGTCAGATCAATGTTGGGTCTTATTAAGCCATGTTAAAGATTTTGGTCTATTTTAAGACCAATGAGAAGCCACTGAAGTGTTGTAAATTGGGTTGGGGAGGGGGGACTGGAAGACAGGATAGGTTTGTTTAGAAAGACTCACTCTAGCTGCAGGATGAATAAACTGGAAGAGAGTCAACATGGATGCAGGAAGGTCAGTTAGGAGGCTGTTGTGTTAGGTGGGTTGGCATGTAAGCTAGAGCTTATCTGGGTGTCATCCACTAGCCTCCAGGGTGAATTCCGCAAAGCCACATAGCATGG